CCGAAAAAAAAAAAGAGCGCATCATTAATTTGCGCATGCTTGGTGCACACACACCACACGGCACACCGCAGAAGTGAGCTGCAAGTATGATACCCTCCCAAGTTTCACATGAAGTCCATAACTCAACGCGTTTGCTCCAAAGAACGGCGCAATGCACATTCCAAGTCGTCTCCGAAGGGGAGAGTGAGGCTTCAAGGCCTCGAACGAAAAACGGTCTTGCGATCGTGAAGAAAGACGTGTTATGTAAAAAAAAAAAAAAACTGGACAATGTGATAATCAGATAATGTATACAGAAGTTATTTTTATAATTATTTCGCCACACAGAAATCTGTGCACCAAAGATGTTCAGATATGGTGTTCGCAGATCGATCGCATACACGTGTGACAAGTATACACTCAAAGGATACACAAGTGTGACAAGCATACACCCAATCAAAAATGTGCCTACAGCAGAGATGAGATTAGAAAACGCAATCTGGAATCCCTAAGGAAAGAACTGCACAGGAAAAGGCCTAAAAAACGGTTTCAGTGCGTCTCATGCTGTCTGTCTGTCTGTCCTTTTCTTATTTCTTGTGCAAAGTGCACTCTTTTAGTTGATAGATCCATATTCACCCGAACACGACGCGTGGTCGTTATCACTGTATCTATTAGACTGATGAAAGTTGGACTGCATGTTAGATATAACGACCAGGTGTTCGGACAAAGACCGTACTTGATCGATATGTTCACAGTCCTTGTGGTGGGGGGGGGGGGGGGGGGGGAGGGGGGGGGAGAGAGAGAGAGAGAGAGAGAGAGAGAGAGAGAGAGAGAGAGAGAGAGAGAGAGAGGAGGGGAGGGGAGGGGAGGGGAGACGGAGAGGAACAGTGACAAAGGCAGGCAACCTTGTTTTTTTCTTCTTCTTTTTTCCCTCGTCTTTTTTCAAAATTTTCCCTCTCGTACCAACGGGCCTAGCTCAGTTGGTATACCAGTGACGTGTTGAAATACAGACCTGAGTTCGAATGCATTGAAACCAAAATGACCAGGATAACGGGCCGGTCAGCTCGATGATGATATCCAGAGGCCTTTGCGGCATCGCCCTTTTTTTTTTTTTTTTTTTTTTGGATTTCCCTCTCTTCTCGTCTCAGCAATACTTAGTACAAATTTACAAAACAGGCAGAGGCTGTGTAATAGTGTGTATATCCAGAGCAAGGGATGCTTGGGCAAGCTCTGTGTATACACAGCATACATGCAACCGCACGGGCTGCACAGATATTACACCAATGGAGAACCAAAGCACCGAAGCTGAATGCCAATGAGAGCATACTCTCGCCACCACCAACAATGTATCCAGAGCCCTTCCTCATACCTGGCGCTCAGCGCCCAGACTAGGATCGCACAGCTACTGCCAGCCTATGAATTGACAATGCATCCTGTTGATGTCAGCAGCAACAACCGAAGTACATGAAGATGTCGACCCTGTAGACCATCACCAAGACCAGGTACATCCTCATTTCTTTCTCGCTCTCCCTCATCTTGTCTACCCATGTCTTCCTCTTCATACATGAAGACCACCACCACCTCCACTGGCTATCCAAGCCAAGCCCTGGCTATGTAGGGCTGGCTATGGCGCTGCCCTCAGCAGCGCTCTGCCTTCTTCCAGCGCCTGCGCGCACTGCCTGGCACCTAGCACTAGCGCACAGCGCACAGCCTGCGAGCGCACACTCAAGCAGCGCTTCCGCATGCACTGCCTAGTGCTCTTTCCTTTATGGAAAGTGCTTGCCCAGTTTGCTGTCTGGCTGGGCCTCATGTGTTTCCATTAGCTTCCGTTTTGGCCAAAGCGTCTGCGCCCAGGCCCATTCAGACAGTGGCCTGGGATCAAATTGGTTAGGTCTGCCAAACCACCCAGGAGTAAACATGAGCTTCTCCCTGCTGCGGGAAGAGCGTAGAAGGCTCAAGATTTATTCCTGATTCTCACGATTACGGAGGATGTAACCGGCTCTGGCGCGTGGCAACTGTCTGGCGCCCACTAAACTTTGCCAAAATGTATGTTTGACAAAAGTCCTCTCCAGTTCCAAGTCAACGCAACTCTACACTACTCTGTGCGCTATAACCTGCAGTACTCTCTGCTCTACACCAAAGTCTACTCTACTCTACTCTACTCTACTCTGCCTTCTAGTAGTTTCTACCCTCTACACTCCCGTCAACTCTTTTTTCTTTGCTGTCTGCTCTCTACTGTACTGTACACTGTGTCGAAACTTAACGCTGTCTAGTCTGATCTACCCTACTCTCTACTCTCTATTTCGCTCTATTGTACTCTACTCTATATACTCTACTCTCTGCTGAGTCTACTCTTCTCTCGCTGTACTCTAATTGCTACTCTCACCTACTCTCTATTGTCAGCGACTCTCAGCTCTCATACCTACTGAATGGAATTACTCCGCGTAACTCGTTCTGTCGCGGACGGAGCTAATCTTGTCTATACGATTGTTTGTTCTTCTTCGTTTTGTCTCATTCTTCTTCCTCTCCTTCTTCTCCTCCATTTCGTCGTGTTCTTTTCCTTTTTCGGTGTTTCTTCGTCTTCTTTTCTTTTTCTTCTTTGTCGTCTCTTCTTCTATTTCTTCTTTTTCTTCATCGGTTTTCCTTTTTCTTCTTCTCTTTCTTCTTGCCGCCTCTTCTTCTTCTTCTTCTTCTTCTTCTTCTGCTGCTGCTCTCCTCTTCTTCCCTGTTTCTTCATCCGCCATAGCGCTTCATCAACATATCATCATCTTTTTTTTTTTTTTTTGGGAATGCTTGATTATGCTTCGGCTCTCCGTCTGCCATAGCCTCCCTCCTCCCTCCATAGACTTCCCCCCCCCCCCCCCCCTTCCATCAGTCTCCCTTCCCCGTCCTCCCTTGTTAGACTTCGTCCCTTCATCAGCCTCACTTCCTCCTCCTCCTCTTCTTCCTCCTCTTCTTACTCTCTCCCTCTCTTCTTCTTCTTCTTCCCTTCTTCTTTGTCATCTTCTTCTTTCTCCTCTTCTTACTCTCTACAGTCCTTCTGGGACGCCATAGTCCTCTTCTTCTGCTTCTTCTTCTTTTCTTCTTCTTCGTTAGAGTTCTGCTCAAACCTCCTCCTACCTTCGGTACAGTCCTGCTCCTCCTACCTCTTCGTACCTCCTGCCATAGTCCCCCCTACTCCCTCCTTCCTCCCGCCAAAGTCCTCCCTCCTCTCTCCTGCCATGCCCCCCCCCCTCAAAACACACAGAAACCAATATGCCTGAACATAAAAAATGAGGCTGGATTTGAGCAGTACTCGCCAGGCGCAGCAAACCCCCGTAGACCAAAAAATAAAATAAAGTAATTCCGTGGGATTTTTTCATGCCTGGGCCGCCTGGCCCAGCGCCCCGGGAAAGCTAGTTCAGTAGGTAATATTTATATTTATTGAAAATTTCGTAGTTTTCATGACCGGCTGGTCTGGACTGGCCAGTCACCCGGTCATGATGCCCAGGGGGGTCTGATGCCAGGGATACCCGGGCATGGGTAAAATAATATGGAAAAAAAAAAATCGGCGGTGGGGGTTTTCCGCGCTCTCGGAGAAGAGCCCAAATCCGGGCTTTTTTCTTTTTTCGAGTGTTGGCTTTAAAGGGGGGGCAAGGGGGGTATAAATTATTTTTAAAGGGGCTAAAGGTGTTTAAAGGGGGGTGGCTTGGTGTGATTCGGTTATTTTCTTTTTTATCGTCAGTTCCGTGAGGAATTCTGATGTGACCCTCAGCCAAAAGTTGTTTGTATTGCAATTCTACACAACATACATATTGTTTTCCAGATTTTTTTGGATTTCTTCTTTTTTTTTTTGCGCTGGGGCAGCCCGGGACCCTGCCCGGGGGTCATGCCCGGCCGGTCACCCAGGCGTGTTTCCAGGCACAACTTGGGTGCCCGGGCGCCCGGGAAAACGGCCTAGAAAATTTCGTCTTGTTCAAAAAAAAAAAAGTTGTAAAAAATAAAAATAAAAATCATAATTGAAAATTTTGAATTTCTATAATTTTTGAATGAATCCAGGAAAGATCTGATGGACGTGATGTGCTTTAACTTCGATCGAATTCTGGACTCCATTCAGAAGAAGAACCATTTTCTATCGGTAAGTTGCTCTTTTTTTTTTTTTCCTTCTTTTTTTTCCTATTTCTGATCTCAGTAAAAGGATAAAAGCTGCTGTTCGGCTTTTATTGTCATCACTCGGCCAAGTTGCAAAGTTCTTTCAATGATAATCTCGCGATGTGCTCAAACGCCGCGGATTTGATCTGACGGTGTGGACCGAACCGTTGATCTGTCTCAAAAATATGTTATTGAATTTGTCATTATTGTTAATGATTTCTCTTATTTAATCTGCGTACGCCGTACGGTCTTCCTTCGTTTGAACAGAATGCACGGTCATTATCGCATGCATCTAGACTGAAAATTGTCCAAAATACAGTGATAATGAGTATTAATGACCATGTATGTAACAGTATGTGCTATAAATTAGGGAAGACGGTAGTTGTACCATAGTGCTGCATATTCCTTTTTTTCAGCTCATAAGAATGTCTGCTAACTTGAGTTTTTTTTTTTTTTTTTGTTCTCCCCCCCCCACCCCAATGTTTAAGGGATCCCTGCTTCTTTAAGGAGTATGTGCCTCTCTTTCTCATATATAAACCTTTGATTGAACTGGTCGCAAGTTTCTTTGTTTTTTGTTTTTTTTTTTGTTCGATGGCTGAAGTGGCGGCGCTTCTTTTTTTCACAGTTATAGATTTGATTGAAGTGATTGCAAGTTGAGTGGAGGGAAATCATTAATCAATTGTGATGAATCTTCACGTGGATTTCAATAGTTTTTTTTTTCTTCTTCTTTTCCTGACTGATCTTGATCATTGCATTGAATAAATATTAAATTTGGATGAATGCTGAGGCAAAAAAAAAAAAAAAAAAAAAAAAAAAAGAATGTTGGGTTTCCGGGGGCCTTATGCAGTCTGTTAAAAAAAAAAAAAATTGTTAATTTTGTTTTGCAAACTTCCGTCTCATAGTCCATCTATATATGATAATATATTTTTTATTGATTAAATAATTTAAAAGTATATATATGAAAATATGCAGCCTCCTGATGAGTCGGTGAAACTTCAACGAAACAGTCCGTCGCAGCCCCTAGGTTGTTTTCATCTTCTTCCTCTCTGCCTACGGTCCTGGTCGGCCGTGCAGATGCTTTCCAGACAGTCCGGATCCAGACCAGACTGTCCAAATTGGCACGAGGTCCTCGTCCGGGCAAAGCATGGTAAGCACTCCTATGCTAGGCTACCAGCCGGGCCGCCCGGGTCCCGGTGGCCAGCCCGTGCAAGGACCAGGGAAGGTCCCAGCAAAAAAAAAACAAAATAAAAAAAATCCGAAAAAAAACTATGTTATGCAGAAAAATAAACCGAACAACTTTTGCCTCAGGGTCACATCGAAATTCTGCACCAAATTTAGAAAAAAAAAACAAAATTTAAAAATAATGTTTTTTTTTTTGTTTTGTTTTTTTTTTGGCCCGGCCGGGCAAGTGACCCCGGGCCACTCTGGTAGCCTAGCTCCTATGCATTTTAATTTTGACTAAATTTAATTTAGTTATGTAATTAGTTAGGCATAATTTGTAAAATACCCTCAAAAGTTTAGGTGTATGGCAAAATGCCCCTGAAAGATGTGGGTAGAGCGGAACGCCCTTTTGGGCCGAAATCTTTGTGTTGTGCCCCCGTCAGGCGGGTGTGCAACTTTGCAATATGGACCTCCTTGTTTGGGCCTTGGCCTTTTGCACTAGCGCCTAGGAGAAGTTGGCAAGTACGGGGGCATTTTGTAAAGTTGGGCGGTACCCGGTACGGGTATATTCGAAAGATGGGGGTCCAACCGACGCGAGGGGTATTTCACAAAATATTTTTTTTTGTCAGAGGGGCATTCCGCTCTACCCACATCTTTTAGGGGCATTTTGGCATATATCTCAACTTATGGGGGTATTTTGCAAATTATCCCAATTAGTGCGAGGAACAAGCCCTCACGGGGGCCCTTCCAGACATCACATGTTCTGGGCAAAGGCCCCAGCAAGCCAAGTGTCCGCCCTAAGTGAAGGCGGGCCTGAATATTTGTCAAAGGCCAAAATTCGACATTTCATATGTGGGTATTCAGGCTCTTGCAGCACGCCAGTTGGTTGAATGGACTCGCGAGCCTCACTAAGCTGCGTCGAACAGTTGGCCCAGGCCTTGACAGTTGCGCCTGGGCACATACACACAAAGCAGGGCCGGTACATTGTGAAGCGGCGCCTGGGCACATACACACAAAGCAGGGCCAATACATTGTGAAGCTTGCCAGCGACTTATGCAAAAGCAGTACTGTCGACACACCTACCCGGGGGCCCTGCACAAATGCAGGAAACTGCCCAAGTCGGAAGACTCAGGCCGTGCCCAACTGTAAAGGGTGCCAGGCCCTCAACTGTAGCCTCGGGCCTGGGCGCAGGGACGGAGGCCCAACCGGAAGCTACTGGAAGCTTCCAGCCAGGCCACACGCAGCATCCAGGAGGCTGCGACTTCCATAGAGGAAGAGAGGCAGCCCAGGCCAGGCATTCTGGCCTGCGTAGGCAATGTGGAAGTGCTGCTGCGCTCCTGCTTGATGCTGCGCTGCGGCCAAGGGCGCTGACGGGGTGCGCGGAGGTGAAGTGGGGCGCTGCAGGGCAGCGGGGCGCAGGCAGCCGTAGCCGGGCTGCCGGGCGTCAGGGGGTAATGCGGGTGATCTGGTGGTCTTCAGGGAAGGAGGCGAGTGTGGGGTTATCAAGGTCTGATTGAGGGTGACGAGATACGTACCTGGTGCATGAAGAGAGGTCGGCTATGGTGTTGACAGTCATGTACATTGGTCTTTGAGAGTCGAAGTGAGCCTGTTGCGTGAACACAGCTGTAGGTAGATAGTCGGGTAGAGTAGGCTGGGGCGCTGGGCGCCAGACAGAGAGGAGCGACTTTGGATACTGTGTTCGTGTGGCCTATGGGCTTGAACATTGGCTCATTACTTCATTGTATTGCTCTATATGGATGGTTTGTCGGTGCATTTGTACTCTCTGCTTGGACACGAACTACTTGGGCATCTGTTTGATTTCACAACTTGGTTTTCTGTATGTCGTTCACATTCATATTCCTTGCATTAGTTATTTCATTAGTTATTTAGTTATTTATTTAACTAGTTATTTAATAGTTTATGAAGTTAGTCAAGTGCAGATGCTATCCAGATGAAAAGGCACGAAATGCTATTCGGCATGCCGACTCTTTCTCGTGCATTCGTTGAATATCTTAAATTTCTTTCTTTGTCATCCATCTCAGACATGTGCATTTTGAAAGTTTGATTTAATTTAATTTCATTATTTCGTAATTTGCTAATTTTATTTAATTTGATCGATAACGTGAAGGTTTGGACAAAAAGAAATGAAATCTGGTTCGGCAAGCTCACTCTCCCTCTCGCATTCGGTGGATTTTTTTTTTTATCAATCTCAGACTATGGTGCAGCCAAGACATAAGGTGGCATTCATTCTGGATCTCGTTTATCGCATCTGCAAGAAGATACCAAGAGTAAGCTCCATTTTATTTATTTATTTAATTTATTTTTTGTATTTTTTCCCCTGCAGGTTGTTTGTGAGGTTTTCCGGCTTCTTTTTAATGCTGGAATGGAGATCTCTCTTCGTACACCACACACACACCTTGGGGTATCGTTGTCGAACTGATCGACACCAGGTCATTCAGAATTGTTCGATTACAGTTATCAACTTCATCTGGATTCGAACTGTTGTCTGTATTTCAACAGTTCATGAGTGTACCAATGAGGTGGGGGGGGGGGCTGGATAGTCTGCATAGGTACTAAGTTGCGGAGGCTTAGTGGGCTGTATCTAAAAGGGTGGACGGGGGCTAGGTCCTAGTCATGCATTTCGGGCGCCCAGCAGCAAGGCTGAAGAGGCCCCTTCCTCCCCCCCTCTCTGGCTACTCATCTCCCTGCCCAGTTAATCCTCTGTTCTCAGGGCAATCAATGCTGGGAGGCGGTCAGGAAATCTTCAGATGGACCTCAATGGCTTTTGTTAAGGGGCGCTGGACCCGTTTTCCAGCAGGTGTTGCTCCCCACCCATAGATGGAGCCTCCCCTGAGGCGTCTGCTCATACCAGCGCCCCTAGCGCCCAAACGGGGAGCTTTTTGCAAAAAAAAAGAAAAAAAAAAGAAAAAAGAAGGTAAGGGGATGTTATGTGCCTCTGATTGAATATCCATCCACAAAGCGTTCACTCGCTCCCATACATGCATGCAATAGCAAAGCAGACTTGGAAGAGGCCAATCCACTCAAGGCGGGATAATAATATTATTAATATTATATTATGCATCGGAAGCCCAAACTATTCACATGTTAAATTGAATTACCATCAATTACGCATTTCCAAATTTAATCCCCCCCTTCCTCCTCCAATCAATCAAGGCTCATACTTCCCCATACGAATCTCAACCACGGCTTCAACATACACCCCCGTTCAATCCCCCAGCGGCAATCAACGGATTTTCATGGGGTCTTCAACTACCTCCTTCCACCTCTGAATCCCCCAGGTATGGATCTCCACTATCGTGGGGTCGAGACTCCGTAAGTCTGCAGGCCACAGGCAACTTCAGATCTGGCGCCTATCAGATGACGCAATCCACGGAGCCTCCCGCTAAGCAGCACCCGTAGCACCCATTGAGAAGAAGAACAACGTTCGATGAAGAAGAAGATGAATCCACCAGCATGATGAAGAAGGTGGATATGGCTGCCTCTGACGTTGCCGAAGGTGGCAGGATCTCCAATCCCCAAACAGCACGACCACAACGAGGAAGCCAGCACCGAGGGGAAACAATCACCCTGCGCTGCCTTCAGGAGCTGGGCAGGATCTCCAATCCCCAAACAGCGCGACCACAACGAGGAAGCCAGCACCGAGGGGAGACAATCACCCTGCGCTGCCTTCAGGAGCTGGACAACTCCCCCAGCTATGGCCACTGACCAATCTGATGAAGACGAAGAGCCTACGCTGAAAATAGCGCTGCCCTTGTTTTTCCTCGTCGCCCAACCCAGCCGAATGAGAAAAAGCGCCGAAACTAGTCGGGCACAGCCACCTTCAGCCCGACTTCAGGAGCTTGGCAACTCCCCCAGCTATGGCCGCTGACCAATCTGATGAAGACGAAGAGCCTACGCTGAAAATAGCGCTGCCCTTGTTTTGCCTCGTCGCCCAACCCAGCCGAATGAGAAAAAGCCCCGAAACTAGTCGGGCACAGCCAACTTCAGCCCGACTTCCCTCCACCTAAGCCAGACAGACCAAAACAGCGACGCTTATCTGGCCGTCCAAAACAGTCCGATCTACGGCCCAACAGTCAAGATCTACCTGCATGTATCTAGACAAGGAACTGGCAAAAGGGGAGTCTAGCACAAGGAAAGGCCTACGAGCCTACCGGTTTCTAGAAGACCAGAAAAGGACAAAACAACAAAGGCTGAAAGGCCTAAGACTGCTAAATTGAGACTACAAACGACAGACCTAAGTATCAAGCCCAGAAGGACTCAAAGCCAGCGAACAACACACACAAACTACAGGTCACGGGATCAAGTCCCGCAAGGCTCAAAACAAAGAAACAACAAACACGGTCACACCCAGTTAGTGTACGACCTGTCTGAAACCTGCGATTCATTGCAGGGGATATGCCCCAATGCCCTGAGCCTAACGTTATCGTAGCAATCTGACGACGCCGACCAATAGGCACATTTGTTTAGTGCGGTCTACCACTTGCCCGAAGTGGCATCTGCCAGCTTGTATGATGGAATGAAGCGATACTGTATTACTGTGTGCGCAGGACTCAAAAGGTGATCGATGGACCGCTCAGGAGCTTTTTCAGCTGATTGCCGGAAAGCCGGATCGATTCCTTTCGACTCTGAAAGATGTTGACTTGATGGGACTTCTGCTCTCTCAGCTGATCGAGGTAGGTTTCTGAAACAGAGGGTTTCCCCCCCCCTCAACCCCCCCCCCCCCCCCCCAAAAAAAAAAAAAAAAAAAAAAAAAGAGGACCATTTCTCGATTTATGTGTTGCCATCCATGCACAGGTGCCATGCTAAACCCATGAACTCTTTTTTTTTTTTCCCAAAAATAATTGGACCATTTGTATCTTTTTTCCAATTTTAACTGATGTCCCGAGGGACTGGAAGTCTGAAACAGAGTTTTTTTTAACTTTTTTTAAGTTTAGTTTTGTTTTTTGCAAAGAGAATTTTGACTTAATTAATTGTTACAAAGTGTTTACCATTCAGCCAGTCACTGCCTGAACCTTTTTTTTTTAACTCTCTTTTTTTTTTTTTTTTCTTTTGTCCTGGCAATGAGAAGGTTGTCTTGTGCAAGAACAGAGGCCTTTCTCTCTTTGCCTTTTCTTAAAAAACAGAGGTGGACAACACGACCCTCCACAGCGTCCACATTACCTGACAAGGTCTTCAGACTTCTGACTCTTTTCACTCGTTGCCATCATTTTCCTGTACACAATGCACCCTCATCATTCATAACAGAGATGGCTGTATCGGGCCAGAAAAATAGCTTGTATACATTCATAATTGGGGTGCGTTATGTGTGGGGTACGACGGTAGTCATGGATTGTACGCTTTTTTTTTTTTTTTCCGTTTTCAAACCACGGACGCAGGCAGCGCTTGGGCTTCTGAAGCCCTTGCCTATCCCTTCAGGCGCGGGTCTGACTGTGTCCACGGACTCCATGGATACTCTCGTGACCAGCAAGAATGGTAATCCTCACATCTTTGTCATTGTGGACAGATTTAGCAAGTACGCTAGACTGATCGCTATGCCTGAGACAGCTACGACTGACCACGTAATCAAGCTATTTACGTTTAACTAGGGTACGGTACGGGATTTTGGTCTGCCTAAGTCCATCGTTAGCGACAGGGATGTCAGTCAGGTTCAGCAGCGAATTGTGGCGGAGTACTGCCCAGCAGATGGGACCCAACTGCAAATGACATCAGGGAACCACCCACCCGGAGTCAAATGGCCAGGCTCTGAGCAGATGAACCGTGTAGTGCAGCACTTGCTTCGGCATTCTATTAAGCCGAACCAGGATGACTGGGATGAGACGTTACCTCTCATCGCCAGTCTTTATAACATCGCTGTGCACAGCACTTCCAGCACGACTCCCGACCAGCCACATCTTGGTTGGAAGCACAGATCTGCTCTCGACTTTCTGCCGCACGAGAACTAGGCCACTTTCTGCTGCCCGAGATCAGCATAGAATTTGGTGTTAAATAATACGAACAGCTGCTGCAGCAGGGGGCTGCGGAACACATAAAGAAAGCTCAAGATGCAGTGGTTGGCTCCGAGAATAGGCACAGACGGCCATCAGCATTTCAGGTAGGTGGTAAGAGTTTGGGTTAAGTCATCTGAACTGGGACAGGAACTGGGAATATCTAGAAAACTGATGCCACAATATTTTGGACCCTGGGAAGTACTGGATCAGTTATAGGAGGGGATGCTCATACCACTCCCCCTAGCGTGGTAGCATGGTTAAAAAAAAAAAAGAAAAAGAAAGTGGGAGATCAGTTAGACGGGCCTTCGTATGTCATTCGAATCCCTTGTCACCTTCATACACACCCTGTTTTCCACGCATCCAAGTTGGCTCCTTTCGCTGAAACTGATCATTTTTTTCCCTCAAGAAGGAGGAGATCAATGCTGCCCCCAACCATGGACGGACACGGGGACATTGACGACATCGTTGAGCACAAGCTGATGCCTTTTGCCCAAGCCTCCAGGCAGGGGACGTCCTCTGAAACCGCAAATGCAGTATCGCGCGCGGTTCGGACGTCATACCGATCCTAAAGAAGATCGGTGGTTCACAAGAGAAGAGAGTTAATGACGACTGCTCCACAGATTATCTCAAGTTATGAAAGAAATTTCAAAGGGAAGCAGCCCGCTGTATAAGGACTTCTCAGGGGGACTATCAAAGTAAAGGAGGAGGGAGTGCGATGATTTTACTCCCCTCGGCATACCTGCATAAGGTCCCAGCAACAGACGGGTGCCTGCCCTAAGTGAAGGCGGCCCCCTGATTTCCAATGAGCCCTGAATTTGTCACTTTTGCACATCTTGGTGGGCGCCAGACAGTTGCCACAAACCAGTTGGTTACATCTGCCTTGCTCGTGAGAATCTGAAATATTTGTGAGCCTTCCGGGACCTTCCGGGACCTTCTGGGAATGTGGTCGAAGCAGGGAACACCACACGTTTGTGCCTGGGTGGTTGGGCATGCCTGACCATTTCGGTGGCAGGCCACTGTCTGAATGGGCCTGGGAGCAGGCAGTTGGGCCCTACACGGAGCTAGAGGGCACACGTGCGGCCCAGCCCAGCAGAAAACTGGGCGGGCACTTCCGATATAGGAAAGAGCTCGCCAGGGAGAGGGCATTCAGGCACTTGCTTGTGCAAGCGGCAGCGCTGCTGGAGCATGCGCCTGCGGGATGCCTGCTGGCGGTGGCAGAGGTGCTCGTGCGTGCGCGGGCGCAAGGAGTAGGGCACGCGTGCGGCCCAGCCCAGCATTAAACTGGGCGAGGAAAGAGCTCGCCAGGGAGAGGGCGTTCAGGCACTTGTGCAAGCGGCAGTACTGCTGGAGCGTGCGCCTGCGGGATGCTTGCTGGTGCTGGCAGAGGTGCTCGTGCATGTGCGGGCGCAAGGGAATAGGGCGCTGCTGAGGGCAGCGCCATAGCCAGCCCATCCATAGCCGGGCTTGGCGTGGAAGGTCTGCGGAGGTGGTGGCGGTCTTCGTGTATGGGGAAGACGTGGGTGAGAAGTTGAGGGTGATGAGAGAGAGAGAGAGAGAGATGAGGATGGTCATGTGAGGGCACGTACCCGGTCTGGACGATGGTCTGCATGGTTGACATCTGCTTGTGCTTTGGTCGCTGCTGCTGACGTCAACGGGTTGCATCGTCATTTGGTAGTATAGGATAGTACCTGTAGGAAGTAGTCTGGCCGCTGAACGCCAATAGGATGCAGAGCTTCGCAAGAACTCGCTTTCACTGACAAGTGAGTTCACTGCTTTTGTTCTCCTTCGGTGTCATTTCAGTGCATTTCTGCTTTCTGGACAGTGATTGACTATCCGGCTTTCAATGTGAATTTGCAATCTTGATGTCTGTCATTTCTGTATTGCTCTTTTTCCTTGCAGTAGGTAGTGAATGGTGAAAAAAGAATTGAGAGAAGAATATACTATAATAATAGTATAATGATGCTATAATCTAGTGTTTTCAAACAAAAAAAGAAGAATAAAAAAGACAAAAGCTTTTCGATTCGGTTACTCGTCTTCTTGAAGATGTTTGGGCATGTCCTTCGGGACATGGATCTGTGAAAATTTGAATTTGGAGTGGTACAGAGCTGCGTAGCATGGTGTTGGCGTTCGGTGACCGAATATTGTGTTAGATTTATAAATATTGTTAGATTGAGATTCTATCATAATTCAATTCCAATCACATAATTTAGTTCAAATAAAGATCCAATTAAATTAAATAAATTACTCTAAATTAGTCTCTCTATAATAGTCTATTGAAACAGTTTTCACCTTTGGCAGAAGCCGATGCAGATCCCAGGGGTCGATCCCTTGACCTCAGCTTACCTGTGTACAGTATCTGCACAGTTCCCTGGAGTTGAACCCGTGACCTGCACGATAGCCAGTGGTAAGTAGGTC